TGACGGGACTTTGGGAAATAGCTACACGACAAAACACGTCAACAGCCGAGACAACGGCACGCAACGAGACAGACAGAGAGATAGATAAACTGACAGACAGACAGACAGACAGACGGACAGACCGAACACAGCAGGAATCATTACATGGCAATGACAGGGGCGCTGGACTGCAGGTCTCGGTGTGCCAACCGCCAAACTACCATCCAACTACTACCAGCTAACACATCAGCATCCCAGGGAAGAAGAGCGCTGTATGACCCACGGGTCCGTCCGTTCCCACGCTGCCGCTTCCCCTGCCCTCTCCCGTCCCCACCTGCTCCGCGGCCGCCTCGCTGGTAGTGGCGGGCGGTGTCTTTATGTCCGGTTGCGGTGGGCGTTGTGCTGTTCTATTGGCGACGTGGAGCGAGGCGTTGGTTGAGTTTGTGTGCACCTGGAAGAAAAGGGTTTTGTAAGGAGGTAGCGGTGGTTGGAGATGGGTGAGAGGGGTGAGGGATGGTGGGTGCTGCCGGCGGGGTTCAGTCCTTGTGGAGCTATGTGGCGGGTGGAGAGCAGTTTCCGGGACATGCCAAGTATCGAGTGTCACGTGTAGATGTGTATGCGGTTTTCTGCAACAACCTCGCAACCACACCCACACACTCTCTGTTGTCACTGTCTGTTGTCGCCTCACCTCCAGCTCACCTTGAGCCATCCGATGCCCGACTTCATCACCTCGGTGATGCCATTGCCTGTCAGCTCATTTTCTTAGCCGCCGCCACGGCCACCGCTGCCCGCTCATCACCCGCGTGTTCCGCCATTCCCGTCGTCTCGGAATCCGTGCGGCCGCAGGCCGTGGTGGCGGTGGCGGCGCCGCCCCCTTCCTTCTCCGGAGAGGCGCCGCGGGCCGTGGTGGTGGTGGCAGCCCCACCGCCACCATCGGCACCCTTCCAACGTGATGGACCATTGCCAGGATTGCCAGGATTGTATAAAGTCGATGGCGCTAGGCAACATCCAACACATTTTTAATGGAGACCCGAACACATCACAAAAATGTACAATGGAAAGGCTTTATGTTGAATCTGTTTAAATTTTCCTCTGAGCAGCAGCATTAGTGTTGGAACCCCAATTCAGGTAGTCCACCTCCCGATGTGCACCACAAGCGAGGAAGCGTACGACATGCATGTTCAAGTACAATAATCCAATGTGAGGACATATGCTGTACATGCATACATACATACAGACAAATGCACACAGCGGTGACCCACACAGCCCTCGCCCACCATCACCACTGCCACCAAGACCTATCCCCTTGCTGTCTGCTGCCTGGACTAATGCGCCTGCAGCACTACAGGAATAAAGCAGGTTCTCCTTGTCGTGCACATTGCACTACTACCCCTGAGGTGTGTCTGCTACTACATGGCTACACCTGCTTCATACGCCTTTTAATACTGCTCCCCAGCATGCATGATTACACAATGACCTGCAGCACCACAGACCCCGTTGCATCCATGGGTGCCACTGCTGCTGCCAGGCTGGGTGCCACTGCTGCCCCCAGGCGGGGTGCCACTGCTGCTGCCAGGCGGGGCACCACTGCCAGTGCTGCCCCCAGGCGGGGTGCCACTGCTGTTGCCAGGTGGGGTGCCACTGCTGCCCCCAGGCCGGGTGCCACTGCTGTTGCCAGGCGGGGTGCCACTGCTGCCCCCAGGCCGGGTGCCACTGCTGCCCCCAGGCCGGGTGCCACTGCTGCCCCCAGGCCGGGTGCCACTGCTGCTGCCAGGCGGGGTGCCACTGCTGTTGCCAGGCGGGGTGCCACTGCTGTTGCCAGGCGGGGTGCCACTGCTGCCCCCAGGCCGGGTGCCACTGCTGCCCCCAGGCCGGGTGCCACTGCTGCCCCCAGGCCGGGTGCCACTGCTGCCCCCAGGCCGGGTGCCACTGCTGCCCCCAGGCCGGGTGCCACTGCTGCCCCCAGGCGGGGTACCACTGCTGCTGCCAGGCGGGGCACCACTGCCAGTGCTGCCCCCAGGCGGGGTGCCACTGCTGTTGCCAGGTGGGGTGCCACTGCTGCCCCCAGGCCGGGTGCCACTGCTGTTGCCAGGCGGGGTGCCACTGCTGCCCCCAGGCCGGGTGCCACTGCTGCCCCCAGGCCGGGTGCCACTGCTGCCCCCAGGCCGGGTGCCACTGCTGCTGCCAGGCGGGGTGCCACTGCTGCCACCAGGCCGGGTGCCACTGCTGTTGCCAGGCGGGGTGCCACTGCTGCTGCCAGGCGGGGTGCCACTGCTGCCCCCAGGCCGGGTGCCACTGCTGCTGCCAGGTGGGGTGCCACTGCTGCCCCCAGGCCGGGTGCCACTGCTGTTGCCAGGCTGGGTGCAACTGCTGCCCCCAGGCCGGGTGCCACTGCTGCCCCCAGGCCGGGTGCCACTGCTGCTGCCAGGCGGGGTGCCACTGCTGTTGCCAGGCTGGGTGCCACTGCTGCCACCAGGCCGGGTGCCACTGCTGCCACCAGGCCGGGTGCCACTGCTGATGCCAGGTGGGGTGCCACTGCTGCTGCCAGGCGGGGTGCCACTGCTGCCCCCAGGCCGGGTGCCACTGCTCCAGGCTGGGTGCCACTGCTGCCCCCAGGCCGGGTGCCACTGCTGTTGCCAGGCTGGGTGCCACTGCTGCCCCCAGGCTGGGTGCCACTGCTGCTGCTAGGCTGGGCACCACTGCTGCTGCTGCCAGTGCTGCCACTCAGGCCGCCACTGCTGCTGCCCTCATCATCAGTCAACCCCTCAATGCTGCCGCCACCACTGCCTGATAGCTGTGCACGAAACTGTGTGTCCTTTTCCATGGTGTGGCGTGACAGCACACGCAGCGCCCTGACGATGTCGTCATTGAAGCCAAGCAAGGACTGTCCCAGCACCCTGGGCAGCGCCTCAATTACATCCACATTCACCGGGATGTCGTGCTCCTGATCCCAAGGCTTCGCATGGACCAGCACGTTCCGGCTCAGCCTGCACATGTGGATACCAGGCAGCAATTAACGGGTCTGGGTCAGATGCCCATAGGTCTCTGGCTCAGCCAGCAAATGGTATTCAGCACACTCCAACAAGGCTGCATGGGTGAGGCAGCAAGTAGCAAGAAGGGAAGCAGGACAGCCAGCCAGCCTACCGCAGGTAGAACACCAGCATGGCCAGGTGAGTGCACCGTGCCTGCTTGTAGTCATTTTGTAGTCGGTCATTCCACTTCGATGACAGCACCTTCTGGAACCAAGACTGCCGCTCCCACAGTTCCTGAAGGCCCAACACCACGCCACCCTGGTCGCTTGCCAACTTGGTGGCGGTCTTGTCTGCAATGGCCTGCATGCATGAGTGTTTGATGTTGCATGTTGAGTGTATGGAGTACATGGGGTATAAGAGTGTGTGTAGGCTTGTATGTAGGTGTTAGCCACTGGTAACTATCTGGACAAGTCTGAGAATCAATTCACCGATTGACAGGCATCCTGCCAGCACACACATAACCCATAAAAGCCATACCAATATGTGCAGGATGCATACTGCAACAGAGTGGTGACACAAGACTTCCCAGTAGCATAGAAGGGCGCCAACACCCACACCCCCACAAAGATAGGAGCTGCAATGGAGACTCACCAATGGACAACTACACTGCGGTGCAAGCACAAACTTCTACATAAGGCCCCATTCTACACAAACACCATCTGCATGTAGTGCTTCTCCCATCTAAATCTGACCCCAAGCCCTGCAGCCTATGGAATTACCTGCAACTTGGCTGTAAACTCATCCATCCCAGCTGGTGGCTTTTCACGCTCCCACCGGAGGCTTGCACGGGGCCCAAGCAGGTAGTCAGCTGCCTCACCGAGGCGGAGTAGGTTCACCATCGTGTCCAATTGCATTAGGGTGGCACTGAACTCCAGGCTGCTCCAGCTCTCCCGCAGTGTGCCATCCTGGTTGATCACCAACTGCAGGCAAGCAGGGCAAGGGTGGCATGGCATGCACTTAGCACCAACATGGGAAGGGGGGCCCACAGCAAAACAGGGAAGCAGGATGATACACAAGCGCAGTTGAGCTTGCCCCAGAACTGAGCTTTTGCTGTGTTTAATCAGCTCTATGGGGCGGGGGAGAAGGGGCTCGGGCACATGGTGAAAGACCCCCCCTCACCCGCACAATCTGACGCTGGTGCGGGTCACGGAAGTAGTAGCGCCCATCCGTCTTCCTCTCCAGGTGCGGCTCCAGGAATCGCTGTAAGCACTGTAAGCCGGGGTGCAGATCTGTGTCGATCCGTGCCCCCACATCTGGAAACGCCAAGTCCAGCACAGTGATGCGCTGCAACAATGACATGCCCTCCAGGCCCAGCTTCCACTCCTTTCGTGACTGAGGTACATAGTGAGATTCAACGGGTGGGCACCGGATAAAAAGGCAAGATTTGAGGTGAGCAGTAGTGGGTCCAGCCATGAAGAATTGGTGCAGCCAGTTCTAAAAAATGCCAGCTCTACAGCAACTGGCCCCAGTTGATTAAGACAACACAGACACTGCTAAGCTGAAGCATACAGAGGCCCTGAGATGGGTGTGCTGCAGGTTACCTCGTCAATGAGCTTCATCCTCATGAATCCACGGATGAAGGCAGTCACATCCAGGCCTAGGGGGGGTAGAGCATCAATCCAGTCCTCCACCAGGACTGTCAGGAGTGCTATGGATGGAGGGCAGAGCTCCAGCAGCTTGGGGTCCAGCTGCACTCCGGCCTTGGAGCTCTTCAGCAGCTCCCATGCCAAGCTCATGTGCTCGGGCCTGTAGGTTGCCGGTAGGTTCACGGCACTGGCACCAGTGATGACTGTGTAGCCATTGGGCGGCATGTCGGCCAGGCTAATCCAGGTCTGCACCATGGAGCTGCCGGTTATGCACCACAGCATGGTGTGGGAGCCATACACCAGCAGCAGCTTCATGAATGAGTTCCGGATATATGCAGCCCCGCTTGCATCCAGCTTGCCGTCAATGGTCGGCAGGAACAGGCTCTGCATTTCGTCTGAATGGCAGGGATAAGGAGGCAGGCAGCGACACAGCAAGGGGGGATGAAGAGTATATTGTTCGAGATTGGAAACACCAGGACAGGGGACCAAACAAGTACTGCGAGGCTCAGCCCAGGTGCAGGTGTGTTGTATTCCACTTCTTAAATCTGGTCCCAAACTGATACATTTTTCTGTCTTATTTTTCCTTTCTCGCTTGGTGTGGTTGCTGGACAAGTTCGCTGGAACTAACTGAATTCCAACTGCCTATTTTGCCGCTTTTTCTGTCAGATCTTTATGGCTCCGACCTCTGGGTCAGACAGCGAGCAGGATGCTGTCATGGATGCCTACAAGTAAACACCACCTCAGGTGGAAGTCCATACTTGCAGAAGTATGGGCGGGGGTCGTAGCACAGGCTACGACTGGGACGCTGGTCCCTGGCTTGCAGAGCCCCCTCATCAATCGGAAGCATGGATCAACGGTACACCATTCCGGGACTGGACCGCGCCTTTTTGGAATTGGCTGTACGATTCATTTTGGATGGCCACATCCTCAGCTATTTAAGCGGGTGAAACTCTTCCAAATCGGTGTCTTCCGACGCCACCATCCAGTTGTGGTTGAGTAAGATGCAGCCGGTCTAGTAAAAGCTCCAGAAGCACATTGAAGCAGGATGAGGGGGGCGAAGTGTCGGATGCACAAGTTGTTGGTATACCCATAGGGGTGTAGTGAAAGGAGCAAGCAGAATTGGCTCGTGTCCCCCTTCACCCAGATGTTTGTGCAGTCAAACATGCAGCATGCACTTCTTAAAATCAAAAATGGTAATGGGGCTTGCGACTTGCACCTGCACATCTGCATGCCCATGGTTGTGTAAAGCAAGCAAGTTGCTGCCATGAGAATGGCATAGTTTGCCATGCAAAATGATACAGCAAGCAACCAAGAAAGCCATTCAGACCCAGCAATTCAACAGAAAGAAACCAGGCGAAGAATCCAGGAGCCTGTGATAAAGCCTCCATCAGCATGACCCCATACCGCATAACACGAGCACCGGCACCTCCACCGCCTTGAGGAACTCCCGGATGGTGTGGCCCAGCAAGCCACGGTCGGTGCTGAAGAAGCGCCGCCCCAGCACATCCTCTGCAGCCTCCAAAGCACCCTCCTGCATGGGCACATGCTCCTTGCGTGCCCAACTCAGCAGCATACCCAGCAGGTCCCGCAACATGGCCGTAGCACCTTCCTGCATGCAGGGTGTTGACAGAGCACACCATTTGAGCCACCACCCTCACAGCCAGCTCCCATTACCATGCACAAATCAATCCTTCTGCAACCAATGCCTCTGCAGCACAGTCATGGCATGCTCACAGAAGCAGCATAATGGAATGGAAGTGCTTCAGCAGCCTTGAGAGTGTGTTCCAATATTTAACACCCACTTGCCTGCCGTTGCAGCAGACCACAGTTCAGGCGCAGGGCCACCATGCCTGCCAGGGGGCCCTCCCCTCCCTGCTGGCGCAGCACCTCCGCCACCACCGCAGGAACCACGTGCTCCAGGGTGAACGACTTGCCCGTCTGCAACATGCATGTGCATTGATAAGAGGTCATAGGGCTACTCAAGTGTTGCGTGGTCCTGTGCTGTGGCAATGACATGGAGTCACACTGTGGCTAAAGATACCTAGGATGGGAGGTACAACACAACAGCATACCTTGACAAGCCCTGAGACCAGCAAGGGTGAGGGGGCTTTAGCCCGGTCTTTGTCCACCGCGTCACTCATGGCCATTTTAGCCCATAAGCGGATACGATCCACCACCCTCACTTTGTCCATCCTCGCAGTGTCCACCCTCGCCACATCTATGTATGACAGCACTGAGTCGCTGTAATGCAGCTCCACGATATCATTGTTGTTGACCTTGTAGTGCAGCTTGGCCGCACTATCCACCAGCCGCCTTGGAGCTGGTGCACCTGCACCATCACCCAGGGGGCGGGGCACAAGGTCGCTGGCAAGGTAAAAGGGACTTGCAGGACAGTTGGCAGTGGCAACCATGTTGCACACTTTACCCCTGTGCTAGCTGCATGCACATCTTGAAAGTGAGGTCACTGTCGTTGCCAAATCGATTCTATACATGTGTCTTAAAACCCTGCAAAGTACACTCACCAGCCCCTGCCAGGATCCCCAGGCCCAGGCCAGCTGCCGCGCCTGCATGATGTGGGAGCGGCCAAGGAGCACGTGCAGGTGAAAAGTTGCATGCCGCTGCACATGCTTGCTGCATGTGCTTGATGCGGTCCGGTGTGCAGGGTGAGATGGGGGGTTGGGCATGAAAATCCTGATACACAGCAGAGGGGGGGTGCTCGTTTCAAGCACTAGGGCATGCCAACCCAGGATGCTTCAGTATTGCAAACCAATACAATGCATGCTACAACAATTTCAACATGAGCTTTGATGTTGTGCTACTGCTGCAACAGCGGTTGGCATTCAGCCTACGTCATGCTGTGTGAGGAAGTCTCCTCATCCCCAATCAACCACATGTCAATCCATACCCTACAGCATCATGAACATGCTCACTGGCAGCCAGAGGCAGCAAGTCTACAGGGGGAGGAAAGTAGAACGGATCCCAGTGAGATGGCTGGTTTACCCGTGTCGTGGGCAAACAACTAACCCAAGAACTTTGAGTATTTTCATTGGTCAGTCAGGCAGTCAGCCACCATTCAGGCGCGCTCAGCTGTGCCCACAGCGACCGAGGTAGATTCCCACAGTTGCCAGCCAATTCTGCTGTGCTCGCTGCAGAACCTCAATCTCATACATACTGTACCAATGTGGGATGCCAGGGCTGGTGTTTTGCTCAGGCCAAACCGCCAGTGAGCAAATCCCTGGAGGAACCCAACACAAACTCACCAGCTCCTGCTGTGCTCCCCACGCCCAGGCCAGATGCAGAGGCTGCACGACATGGGCACAGTCGGGGGGCTCTTGGAGATAAGAGCTGCATGCTGCTGCACATTTCAGGTGCACTACCTCTCCCAACTACCCAGTGACGCATTCCAAGCCTCCCAACAAACCTCCCGCATACCGCATACACAAGCGTGCAACAACAGCCCTAATTCACTTTAAGGTTATTCATCAGTTGGTCAGTCACTTGGACACACTCAGCTGTGCCCATAGCAGCCAAGGTAGATCCCCCGCCATGGCCAGCCATGGCCAGCCTAATCCGCTACAGTCTTTGCGGTAGCTGAATCGTGTACATACTGAACCACCATTTGAAATGTTGTTTTTGATTAGGTCAAGTCGCTGATAAGGAGATTTTCACATATACCCCGCCGGCGGACGGTCCCCTGTCTGCAATGCAACACCGTACATCCTCTGACCATCCTCTGACCGTTCCAGCGGACGCCTAGCGCAGGGAACGAGCTGAAACGGAAACCTGCGGAAACGGAAACCTGCGTAAATAGGTTTTGTCACGCTTTCCGCAGCGAAGCCCAGATTGGCGGAAATGCGGAAAGAAAATCCGCATTTCCGCGTTTGCTGTACGGCGGAAATTGAAAAACAGGTTCCAGGCATGCGTTTGCCATTTAAAGACTGCGTTTTACACTATAGAGTTATTTGATTAAGTCAAATGTCAACAACCACTGGCCCCAACCTGGGGGCTGCCGAAGTCACAGAGATTGACTGTGTTTCTGCTCGGAAGAAGGGTTTTTGATAATTGATTCCACAATGTCCGTAAACGTGGTTGAAGTTGAACAGAGCCACGTCGTTGCAGTTATCGTTGTGCGGTGCCATTTTTAGATACTTTAGCCCTCTCGCCTTTTTTATTCCTTTTGATTTTTTTTATATTGAATTCATATTGTTTAGACGATTACTGGATTAATGCACAGTCAGCATAGACTTGTCCGTGAGGCATGCAGACATGCCGGACGGGTATGTGGAGTAGGCATGCAGACATGTCACTGCTCCGCAACGGACAGGGAGACGATTATTATTCAGTGTTTCAGGGCTCCCTGGGCCCCTACCCCATGTAACATATGAGTGGCAATTTCTGAGCATCCCAGAGCAATCCGTCAGCCAACAACACTAATGGGGGTGGTATACGATAGGGCTGCTCAGGCCTGGGGTCTCAGGGTTCAAAGAGAGGCGGGCTGCTTGAAGGGGGCAGGGTGAACACCGTCAAGGGTGTGGGCACACAATAGTTGATCGCTTGGCCCCCGCCACCCCCAGTAATACGTTTAGATGGCTCTACCTTCGAGCACGATTGGAATCCACCAGATTCTAGATCCCACCGGACAGAACCGCACTGCCATAAGCTGGTTTCAGACTGTCCATGTTATCGCCACACTGAGAAGAGCTAAAAAACATCGTTACATATTCATTTTATAGTTTTCGCAGCTTTCCGCAGTTTCCGCAGCCTTTCCGCAAAGGGCCTCCCGATTACGAAAAGTTTCCGCAGACCTGGTCAAGTTTCGGCTCGTTCCCTGGCCTAGCGGACGGTCATGGAAACGATGGTCCAAAGCTCCAAAACATCTGTATGTAGATGATTTATGAGACGCTAATAATAAATGCTCCAGCTTGCACTCCTTGGCAATCAATTAACGCGCAAAACACTCGCCAGGCGAACCTAACCCCAAAATCGTAACACACATAGTAAAAAGGCTTCTAGCATAAAAGGAGACAGCAATCGAAAGGCGCCCAGGCGCAATACTACGACCATTTGTCTCTATATTGTTTATGTGGACTATAATATAGGTGCTGACGAAGGCTTCAGCCGCACACTCTTCATGGCTCACTTACATTGCATCTTGAGACGCAAGAGTTCCTCATCGCGAAGTTTGAGCTTCTCCTCGCGGAGTTGGCGCTTCTCCTCGCGGAGTTGGCGCTTCTCCTCGCGGAGTTGGCGCTCCTTCTCGCGCAAGTGGGCCAACTCGTCTTTGTCCTTGCATAATTTTAGTGCATCCTCCGTTGCCTCTATCTGCGACTCGACCTCCTGTATTTTCCTATCGAGGGTCTCCATGCGCCCAACACCAGCGGAGTTGTTAAACTAGAGCTCAGAATGTAACGAACATAAAGCAGATGCTATATCTTCTTCGTAAGGACAAAGTCTCTGCTGGCGGAAAAATGGAAAAGCGGTTGCCGTACCTACAGGGATTACAGGGATTCGTCGTAGGGAGCTGAACACGTACGTGACAAGAACCATGAGTTATGCATTCACTTGTGTAAAGGGAATTCTTATTGAGCTGCAGCATAAGGCTCCATGGAAAGGACGGCCAAGACCTCGAGGCGAGACGGACGGCCGAGACCCCTCGGGCCGAGACCTCGGGCCGAGACCTCGGGCTGAGACCTCGGGCCGGGCTGAGACCTTGGGCGTCTATGAAATAAGTTTGCCCTGGTGACTGATTACATAGCTAGACAGGTGCATCGTTATGCGAACTTCTCAACTGACGCATCGCGTGGAGCGCCTTGGCAAGCAAACGCCGGTCACCTAACGTCGACGCTCGCGTAGGACCTGTCGAAATGTCGTCGTAACCAGGGCACTCCATGACGACATGATACTCATCTTGAAACCCGATCCACCCTCACCCTACCAATGAGACTGTTGACCTCAATCACCCAACAGCACAAACGAAAATGAATTAAGATCCTATGATGCCGGGAAGGGATGTAATTTCCAAGGTGGCGTGAGCACCCCATTCATTGCACGTAAAGACACATTTTCAACCCCGGTTGAGGTGTCAGAAATGAAGTCCCGAGGATCCTCAAATTGGACTGACTGGGAAAACATGTCCCCTTGCTTAACGGAGGTGCTTGAAAAGCATCCATATACGGGGTGACGAGGCTTCCTGGGGAGACCCCCGAATTAGTTGGGAGAGCGAGATTATGGCTAGCTGCTGAGATGTGGAGTTGAGGTCACAGTTGATGGACCAGATTCGCACGCTGGATTGGTGGCGATTGCCGAACCCTCCGTCTCTTCGGGTGTTCGGGTGAATGGATGAGGAGGGGTCCCTGAAGGCTGGATCCGCCGCCTTGGACTTACAGTTCGTATGGCGAAGTACAGTGTGGTAGTGGTGGATGGTGCTGTAAGGTGATAAATGATCTAGAACTGACAATGTGATAAAGCGGCCCAGAAGCCTCCCACTCTGTAACATTACATTACATTACATATGCTAGGGCGGCTGAACTAACAGATGTTTTGATTTTATTTTGGTACATAGCGCCTGGGAGAAATATTTCAGCAAGGATTTTACCCAAAACCAAGGAGGCGTCGCTCCTCATCCTTCTCTGCAGCCATCGCCTCCACCACACCTGCCACATCATCATCTGTCTCCTCAGACGGGTACACCTCATCACTTGCCACACTCTCGACCTCCCCGTTATCAGAAGGATAATAGGCCTCAGCAATTTCACTGCCCACACTGCCCTCATCATCACTCTCATCAGGCATCCCACAGTCGCCTACCTTGGCAATACGGTGCAGGAGCCCATCCGGGTTCTTTGCAACATACTCCTCAGCAGCTTGAATCACAAGGGGTTTGCATTTCATATCCACGGTTGCATCGAGTAATCCAACACGCAGAAGGGAATCAATGGACGGGACAGACAGCCGGTTACACAGCCTGTTCTTGATAATGCGGTGGACACTAAAGCCACGCTCAACACACGCTGTTTGAGTGGGAAAGACACAAGCGACATACACCAACTGAATCAAGCGTGGAAAGAAGTGGACCCACTGATGCATTCCAGCCCAGGCCCGCTCCCAGGAGGCGCGGCCCAGCTCCAACTGCAAGGCCATCTTAGACCTCATAACTGAAAACGCTTTTTGCAAAACGTCAAGTTCGCTGACATCGAAGGCAAACAGGCGGTTAGAGCTTGCCGAGTGGCAAAAGTGTGCTAGCAACTTCACGAACTCCTTACGGCCATAGCCACGCCGCTCTTCCTCAAGACATCCTCACATATGTAGCAGGATCAAAAATACGAAAGCACTTCAGAAGCTCAGTGTCTCCAAAACGTGCATCCAAATGCTTCAAAGTTAAACCCACAAACCGACAAGCAACCGACAGCTGCTGACAAATGCTACAGCCACCAATCGCGTGGCCTTGCTTATTTTTGCCGGTTTGCTGCCACCAGGGATACTTCGCCGCAAAGGCTGCCTGCCCAATGTCAGAGACAGACGCCTTCGGTAGCTTGCCTGACAAGTCGACCACCTCAGGTGCAGCCTGAGCAGGCGGGGGTTGAGCCATCATTGGCTGCCCAGGTGCTGCTGCAGTGTATAACAGCGATTGCTGGTTAGTTTTCTGACTACATTCATAATAACGATGCAAGACTGTCGGTCGACAAAACGTTTGAAATTTGCAGCGACCTTATCGAAACTTACAGTAAATGTTCACTGAAAAATGTTCAGCAGCTTTGCCATTAGCAGCAGGAGTAGAAGTGACTGGGGATTTCTCTGCATAGTACGAAAACTGCCCCTAGGTAAGAGGAGTCACACGAGCCGCGGTACCCTCCGTCGCTGTGGGAATCGAAGCCACAACAGCCACCAGGTGTCGGATGAAAATAAGTTCATCCTATCCAGGCCCAGCACATCCTTCACCGCCGCCAACTCCATGCACATCACCCCCGCAATGCCTGTACGTCTGGCGCAACCCCAACCGTGTGTGGGGCCCTTCCTTTGACAGCACCGCCGGGCCCATGTTGTGTACACATCCTAAAACGTTTGCAAGCTGTGGCAGATCTCACCAGTACTGCTCAGCAGTAGCAGTAGCAACAACGCTTGCAACGAAATACCTACCTTCCGCGACCGGCACCTGCTCTTCGAGGACGACCTGCACAATGGGGAAGGGAGAGGGGAAAAGCAAAAGCGAGCTCATGCGCTTGCAACTAAGTGCTCACCATGGCTGCCACCGCAGCCGTTTCAGGTGTATGAATGCGAGAAAGAGGATCAGCAACATTCTTGCAGCCCGGCCGGTACTACCACGTGTAGTGGAAGCGGCTCAGGAACTCTTGCCGCCGTGCTTGGCGTGTGACCATCATGAAGGTATCCTGTGCGGTCTCAAGGTACACAGGCGCCACTCCTGTGTAGGGCATTGAGTACACAGTAGCTCTTGCTCTGTGGTAGTGTAGTTGACTTCGGCAGGTGTGAACTTCTTGCTGGTGTAGGCGACGGGGTGGCCATCCTGCAGCATTGCGCCGCCTGTGCCGTAGATGGCTGGCGTCGGTTACTACTTTGAAAAGGGTTTGGTAAGGTCAGGAAGGCGCAACAAGGGGCGTATGTGTGTGTATGTGTGTGTCCACCGCACCCTCCCCCCTAACCACCCCAACCTCTCCCTCACCTTGAGCGCGCTCTTGAAGGGTGGTCCCTTAGGGTGCGGGAACAGTACGGCAGTGTCCAGTATACGGCCGTGACACGTCCGCAAGGCGGCCAGGTCGTTCTCAAGCGCGTGACCCACCAACAGACATTCCGATGACACCAGTGTCAGGAAGTGCTCCTTTGGGGGGGGGAGTTGGTAGGGGTTTTGGGGGGAGCCCAGGTCCCAAAACCGGGGGAGGAGGATGGGAAGAGGAATCATCATATACGACAGAAAGAAAAAAGAAAGAGTTAGCAAAGCGGCGAGAGATGTCGGCACGCCAAGGGGACGTGTGGCAATGCGGCAGTGCGTCTAGGCTTTCCAGCCGGGCCTCTTCCCGCGTCCCCACTCACCCGCACATCCTCGAGTCGATTGGTACAGCCCTGCATGATCATACAGTTGTGGCTCATTGAGTATGTCAGCTGGAGATGATCAAACTTGAACTTGGAAGGAGAAAGCGGAGGCACAAGAGAAAGCGGAGGGGCAATCTTGAAACACACACATACCCATACACACATACCATACAGACACACACGAGCACCTTCGGTCTGCCAGCCCTCCCCCCTGACCTCCAACATCTTTGACGTGATTCCGCTGTACCGCGTGTTGTAATCCAAAATTGGATTATGAGGAAGTACGAGCTCGTCCATCAGTATGGCGCCGCTGGGAAAGCCGGTCTTGCCGCCGCCGGTGCTGCTGCTGCTGCCGCCGCCGCCGCCACCCACAGACCTCCGTCCGCTGCGGCTAAATCCCTCACCTTCCCCTCCTCCTTGGCCGTCATCATCGTCATCATCATCACCATTATCGTGTTGCTCTATATCACCGCTTCTAACGCCGTCAACGCTGCTGCTGCCGCCGTTGGCGGCGTGGCCGTTGCGTCTGGTGGCGGCGACGGCGGCGGCAGCAGCAGCGCCCGCCGCCGTGCCCGGCTCCCATCCCAGCCCGGCCACCAAAGGAATCCGCGTGAGTTCAAATCCCGCTTCCGTGATGCACATCTCACAGTCCAACGCAACCATTCGTTCGCTGGCCGTCGGGTCACCTGTACAACGGAGGAATGCTTTTAGGGGACTTTCAAATGTTCAGGGCATCAGGGCATCAACTTATAAGCTAGATTTTCCAATTTGTTTTCAAAGACAGCGACATCCACACAAGCCACGTAAGCAGTTTTGCACCGAACCCGCATCCTGTTTAGGTCCTTATTACCCGAAGGTCGCGTCGCCATAAAGCCCGGAGGACATACAAGCCGCCTCTGCGGGCCTCTTCGCGCGCCGCCGCCACCTTCTTCCTCCCCTCCTCGTTCCTCTCCCCCCGTCCCCTCTTCACCCTCCTCCTCCTCCTCCTCCTCCTCCTCCAAGTACGGCAACGGGTAGTTATGTTGCTTAAGCTCGTCCAATGATGCCACGTAGTGCGAGGGCGGGAAGGGACCTGGAGGCAACTGCACCGACGACGGCGGCGGCGGCGGCGGCGGCGGAGCCCGACCGCCTTTCTCTCGCCGTTCCGCCGCGGCACCTTTTGGTGGCGCAAGGCTAGCAACCGCCGCCAGCGGCCTCGCGTCTACGTCCTGTTGTTTCTGGTGCTGTTGAAAGCACACGCATAAGCGGGGGGAAGGGCTTACTCAGGGGGTTACTGACCGTGCTGTTTCATAAACTTAATGTTTCATTAAAACAACTGAATGTGTTTTTATGTATTCGGCACATGACATCCCTTTCCCTGCTGGGACGTGTTTTTACCCCCGCACGCGTGTGTGCGTGTGTGCGTGCGTGTATGTATTTCCACGGTGTGCCCGAGTCCCTTTGCCCATCTTCCAAACCACTGCTCGCTGTACTGCACGTTGTTGAATGGACTTGGATTTGGGTTTTCATTTTCCCCACACCTCTCCCCACCACCACCACCACCTCTCCCCTGGCGGCTACCTCGCCCACCCCCGCCCACGCACCCCACCACCAACCCACAGCACCTGCTGCCGTTTCTGTCGAACCTGGGTCGACCGGCTGTCGTACACACCTCGCCGCAAGCTAAACCCGGTAGGGGTGAAAGGGGGGGGGAAGGGTGTGATTGAGCTTTGGGCTCTGGGAAGGGGCCCCCGGGGGGCGCGGGGGGCGCGGGCAGGATAAAAAACGGGGGAGTCCCGATTTCGGAAGAACGAGAAACCGCATGATGGCTTGTGGAATCATAGTAAGTAATTCAGTCATCAAGGGCAACAATGCATGGATCTGATCAACAAAAAGGCTTTTATAAATCCATTCTCTTCGGAAACAACTATCTTAGCTAATGTCGAATCCGGTTTAGCTTTAATCCCTTTGAAGGCGATGTAACTCACAATACGTGAATGTTCACTCGTCAAAACCCACATCAAAAAAGGGGGCCGGGATAAAGGGGGACTCACAGGGGGTCTACAGGACTCAAAGCCTGTGGTGACGGGTTTCCCTGCGGCTGCTGCGGCGGAATCGGGGCTCTGTCATATCTCCCCTCGCCCCCGGACTTCGCATGCCTTTCAATAAGAAGATAAACCTCTAAAACCCGACAGACCCTCCTGAACTCCGTGAACAGCTCTGTCCCCCCCTTTCCCCCCCTTTCGTGGTCCGTCTCCCCCCTTTTCCCCCCGACCCCGTATCCCTGCCCTCCCTTCAGCTCACAACACAACGGAGCTCCTAACAACCAAGTTAAGTCAACGTAACGCCAAGCGAAAGAGATCCGCGCCGTCCGCCGCCGCCGGTGCCGCCGCCGGCGCAGTGGAAGGCACGGAGGACGGGGGAGGGGAGGAGGACAAGGAGGAAGCAACCGCTGGCGGGTCAGTGGCGGCGACCACCGCGGGCCGTGGTGGCGGTGGCGGCGCCGCCCCCTTCCTTCTCCGGAGGCCGCTGCGGCTGCCGGCCTGACGTGGTGTACGGAGGCCGTACTCGGCACCCATTTCCCCGTGGGGGCCGATGACGCCTGCGTGTCAGAGAAAGACGTCAAAACACAACATCGACACGATAAACACACATATCTACATACACGCACACACTCTCTGTTGTCGTTAAGCATACACGTGCACAGGCATAAAGCGGGACAAGCATATGCAGGCTGTTAAGGAGGCTGCATGCACGCGGGGGGTGATACGCAGCCCAACCTCCCTAGTGGGTGTGCGCGCACGCGCATGTAGTCTACACTCAAATCATCGTGTGGCGAATTTCCCCCCGGGTACATATCACCTGGTTCGCCACCGTAGCGGATCATCCCGCCCTTCACCCCACGCCGTATACCTCGCGACTGTAGCTACCAAGTTTCCGTCATCTCCCCTTCCACCCCCACCCGCACCAACGCCCGTACCCGCACCCATACCCACACCCATACCCACACCCGCATCCGCACCTCGCCTGCCTCGCCTGCCTCGCTGTCCGCCTTTCCTCTCTCACCTCCCAATGGGCCCCCGCTAGCTCCGCCCCCCCCCACATCCGATAAACTCTCTCTCTCTCTCACCTGCCGCCCCCCCTAGCTCCGGAATATCGTCCGCGGGTCCCCCCCGGGTATTCTCCGTACCGCTGCCCGCCACCTCACGATCGTGCCGGGCTACCTTTTCATGCAGCTGCAAACCCTCCCCCAGCTGCTCCTGATGTACACTGCGGGTACGAGGGAGGTCGCCGACGGCGGGGTGGTGGTGGCGGCCGTCGCTGTCGTCACCGGCAGTGGCAGTAGTGGTGGTGGCCGGCTGCCGCCAGGCCTCGGTCGGGGACAAGCCCAGCGTGGTGGCTGTTGGGCCCGGGCTCGAATGAGGGGTAGTAGCGCCTGCAGGAGGCGGGAAGGGTGTATCGGACTCGTAAACATGCAACAAACACAGCAGCACATATACACGCGGATTACGAGCGGAAACTCTGTGGACAGATGGATACGTAGAACCGGGTCTGGATGTGTGTGTATTTGTGTGTGCGAGTGTATGTGGGGGCCGATCGAAATACCGACCTAGTGACCCATGGGTCACTGGTGCCGATACGGGCGGCAATTTTCATCGGGACCACGACCTCTCTCCCCACTTCTCAATGGTTTACATTGCATGGTCAGAGTCAAGCCCCCTGCCAAGTGAGGACTCGTGGCCGTGAGGGCGGACCGAGGGCCAGGGAGCTGCTGCGCAAGGCTTTTGCTGAGGAGCTACGACGGAAAAAGATTCCTGTTTCGGGATATGGACCGCGCACCTACGAATCACGGGCGCCTGCCGCAGCTTTAAAGGCTTGACCGAGCGCGCGCCTCATCTTTCCTGATCGCTCGCTTCCTTAGGCTGTTTCCCGGCAGTAAGAGGCCAAGGGAAAGGACTTTGAAAAGAGAAACTGTGCCCGCGCCTTTCCCGTGCCGCGGTTGTATGCTGGAGAAAAAGCCTGAGGCGAGCTGGTATGGACACACCCTTGCTCACTTGCACGGCGCTTACAACAAGTCCAAAGGAAAAAGTCTTCGCTATTGACAGTTAGACAGAAGTGATTTGATACAGGACAGATGACAAGGTCTATAGGTCAAAGATGGGTTGTAAGCCTGTATGTATACGAAATGAGGCACCATCGCGCCTGTACCCGCGTCGTACAGCAAATCCGAAAAGGTAGCCTCGCCGCTGCGAGATATAGCAGGAAATCGTGTTCAATGCTTTCGCTGCATTTGTTTCGGAATCCCAGATTCGCGAAACAAAAATGCATAATCGTAAATGAAAATTTTTTGCAGGTCACCCGCAAGAATCACCGCGCACACCAAACGCAGTGATAAACGGGGCGACCACCACACGAAAATAAACAGTCCACAAACAGCAAGACGACACGAAACGACACATACAACGCCGCCCCTCTCCTGTCCCCCGTGGGCTTGCCACAATTGGCTTTTAGCTCCAATTTCCACCGGACAAGTGAAATATCTTTGACCGGCACACGCGTCGTCAAAAAGCACTGCACAAAGCATCATTGTAATTCACCATCGTCACATAGTCATAGCATCCTGCGCTAGAGCCGTGACGAGGATTTCCCTCCCATCTGGTAGAAACTGCTCGCTTCTGAAGTATCTTATCGTCCAGTCACTGCTACCTTTAACTCCCCCTCCAAAGGCCACCGTAGAATCCCCCAGTACTCTGCCACGAAAGAAAGAAGAAAACTGATAGGACACTCGACATCCAATTCGCAGCTCGCGCCTTCTCAATGCACAGCATTATGTACATAACATTAGTACTTAACTCCCTTACAAACCGTCGCTGCCCCGGTAGCACCTCCCCCTTCTCCAAAAACCCTACCCTAAGCACAACACCGCTTTGCCCCGCGCCCTGAGACCTTGGAGGCGGGAGAGCTGAGGATGAGCGAGCGCAACGCATCATGCGCCACCCGAATGTTCTGGAAGGAACCTAGGATATGAATTCTCGTGTCCGCCAGCACGATGCGAGTGCGCGTCGCATTCTCAATCGTAAATTTGGTCTTGCCGTCCTGCGGCTGCGGCGCATGGGGTTGAAAAAAGTGTAAAAGGGCAGCCAAGCAATATGGAGTACGAGAGTCAAAGAAATGGCGGTAAATCAGCCGGCGGAGTAGGATGGCCCTTGGCTGGCAAAGAGGCTGGCAGGAGCTCAGGGACACAGGTCACCGGACTCTGCTTCCATCCAGCGGGGCTGGCCAGGCAACATTCCCAGCGCACAGCCCTAAAGCCCCTAAACCCTAAGTACAGGGGGGTCGCTGCTGCTCGGAACCAAACCAAGATGCGGCTGGCTCTTATCACAGCTTCCAGTCCACAGGCAGCACACTGCGGAGTTTTAGGCAGGCCAGTCGCTTTCACATACTAAACTCTATACCAAAAACGGTTTCTCAAATGCTCTGTAGGGAGTAATAGATCTCGTAACAGCCAACTACCGGTAAACAACCGTATCCCAACCGAATCCACAACCAGCAACCACGACCCAGACCAGCTCTCGCCCTTTCTCAACCCCCAGCCCTCCTACTAGCCGTAAAGCCGTAGGCCAGAAATGGCGTCAGGGGCTGTTCCAACCGTCCCTGTGCTGGCGCGGGGGGCGGGGCACCCCGCCTCACCATCCCTAGGCTGGTCTTTCCCCACCGGCGCACTACCGAACATCTGCTGGTAGGTGTCCTGGGAGGGTGGTGATGCATGCTTGTGCGCATGTACATATGTATGTGTTGAAGCAGTGGTGGGCGGTGTCTTTATGTCCGGTTGCGGTGGGCATTGTGCTGTTCTATTGCCAACGTGGAGTGAGACATTGGTTGTGTTTGTGTGTGCGTGGAAGGAAAGGGTTTTGTAACGAGGTAGCGGTGGTTGGAGTTGGGTGAGAGGGAGAGGAGGGATGGTGGGTGCAAAGGTGCTGCCGGCGGGGTTCAGTCCTGGTGGAGCTATGTGGCGGGTGGAGAGCAGTTTCCGGGACATGCCGAGTATCGAGTGTCACGTGTAGATGTGTATGCGGTTTTCTGCATCAACCTCGCAACCACATTCCCCCTCTTCCTGCCTCCCAGCGCCCACGGGGTCCTCTCTGTCGCACTCACGTTCCTTGCACATGGAAGTGATACATGCATACATGCATACATATTTACACAGGTAAACCACAACACACGCGGCAACCGAGCTAGCTAGCCGCCATCACGACCGCCACACAGGGGCCCCCACCACACCCCCAGCTCACCATGAGCTGACCGATGCCCGACTAGATCGTCTCGGTGATGCCATTGCCTGTCATTCAGCTCATTCGACCAACCAGACTATTCCCCGCCGCCGCCGCCCCCACTGCCGCCCTGCTCATCACCCGCGTGTTCCGCCGACCCCATCGTCTCGGAATCCATGGTGCTGTGGGCTGTGGTGGCGGTGGCGGCACCGCCCCCTTCCTTCTCCGGAGGGGCGCCGCGGGCCATGGTGGCGGTGGCGGTGCTGCCCCCTTCCTTCTCTGGAGGGGCGCCGCGGGCCGTGGTGGTGGTGGCAGTGCCACCGCCGCTACCGGCACCCCCTTCTGACGTGATGGACCATTGCCAGGATTGCCAGGATTGTATAAAGTTGGTGGCACTAGGCAACATCCAACACATTTTTAATGCAGACCCGAACACATCACAAAAATGTACAATGGAAAGGCTTTATGTTGAATCTGTTTAGATATTAACCTCTGAGCAGCAGCATTAGTGTTGGAACCCCAATTCAGGTAATCCACCTCCCTATGTGCACCACAAGCGAGGAAGCGTATGACATGCATGTTCAAGTACAATAATCCAATGTGAGGATGTATGCTGTACATGCATACATACAGACAAATGCACCCAGCCATGACCCACCCAGCCCTCACCTGCCATCACCACTGCCACCCAGCCCATTGCCTCCATCTTCTCTTCCACCCAGCCCTCACCCACCATCACCACTGCCACCAAGACCTATCCCCTTGCTGTCTGCTGCCCCCTGTCCTACCCTGCACAGGTACCACTGCCGGTCCCCGGCCATGGTACTGCCTCATCCCACCCTTCCCATCTGCTCCTTGAACAGCACATGGCTGTTAACCTTCTTCACCATTTAAGCATCCAATTGACAGTCGCCAGCACAAGCACAGATGCTTTGGACTAATGCGCCTGCAGCACTACAGGAATAAAGCAGGTTCTCCTTGTCGTGCACATTGCACTACTACCCCTGAGGTGTGTCTGCTACTACATGGCTACACCTGCTTCATACGCCTTTTAATACTGCTCCCCAGCATGCATGATTACACAATGACCTGCAGCACCACAGACCCCATTGCATCCATCCAGAAGCCAATTCCACTCCCAGCAGCCAGAAGACACATCAGCTGCATGCTGTGCATAGCTGTCAGCAGCAGCCGGTAGGGGCACCCTCATCTGGGTAGCCGTAGCACTATTGCTGCTGATGGTGCATAGAGCGAGCGCTGCACATGCACGCGTGGTGCAAGTGTGGCTACCCGCAGCCCTCCCTGGCCCCACATCCCATGCCTGCCTGTGGTGTGAACCAGCAGCCCATGCTGACCACACCCCGCCGCTGGGCCCAGGCACACTGGTGGGCATTTGTCAGACATCGCCATTACACCACTGCTGCCACACCGGGCGCTGCTGCTGCCGCTGCCATGCCAGGTGCCACTGTGGCCGTTGGGCTGGGTGCCACTGCAGCCATTGGGCTGGGTGCCTCTGTGGCCGCCAGGCGGGGTGCCTCTGCGGCCGCCAGGCTGGGTGCCTCTGTGGCCACCGGGCGGGGTGCCTCTGCGGCCGCCGGGCGGGGTGCCTCTGCGGCTGCCGGGCGGGGTGCCTCTGTGGCCGCTGGGCGGGGTGCCTCTGCGGCCACCAGGCTGGGTGCCTCTGTGGCCACCGGGCGGGGTGCCACTGCTGCTGCCAGGCTGGGTGCCACTGCTGTTGCCAGGCTGGGTGCCACTGCTGCCCCCAGGCCGGGCATCACTGCTGCCACCATGCTGAGCACCACTGCTGCTGCCGCCAGTGCTGCCACTCAGGCCACCACTGCTGCTGCCCTCATCATCAGTCAACCCCTCAATGCTGCCGCCACCGCTGCCTGATAGCTGTGCACAAAACTGCATGTCCTTTTCCATGGTGTGGCATGACAGCACACGCAGCACCCTCACGATGTCTTCATTGAAGTCAAACAAGGACTGTCCCAGCACCATGGGCAGTGCCTCGATTACATCCACATCCACCGGGATGTTGTGCTCCTGATCCCAAGGCTTCACATGGACCAGCATGTTCCGGCTCAGCCTGCACATGTGGATACCAGGCAGCAATTAACGGGTCTGGGTCAGATGCCCATGGGTCTCTGGCTCAGCCAGCAAATGGTATTCAGCACACTCCAACAAGGCTGCATGGGTGAGGCAGCAAGTAGCAAGAAGGGAAGCAGGACAGCCAGCCAGCCTACCGCAGGTAGAACACCAGCATGGCCAGGTGAGTGCACCGTGCCTGCTTGTAGTCATTTTGAAGTCGGTCATTCCACTTCGATGACAGCACCTTCTGGAACCAAGACTGCCGCTCCCACAGTTCCTGAAGGCCCAACACCATGCCACCCTGGTCGCTTGCCAACTTGGTGGCGATCTCGTCTGCAATGGCCTGCATGCATGAGTGTTTGATGTTGCATGTTGAGTGTATGGAGTACATGGGGTATAAGAGTGTGTGTAGGCTTGTATGTAGGTGTTAGCCACTGGTAACTATCTGGACAAGCCTGAGAATCAATTCACCAATTGACAGGCATCCTGCCAGCACACACATAACCCATAAAAGGCATCGCAATATGTGCAGGATGCACACTGCAACAGAGTGGTGACACAAGACTTCCAAATAGCATAGAAGGGCGCCAACACCCACACCTCCACAAAGATAGGAGCTGCAATGGAGACTCACCAATGGACAACTACACTGCGGTGCAAGCACAAACTTCTACATAAGGCCCCATTCTACACAAACACCATCTGCATGTAGTGCTTCTCCCATCTAAATCTGACCCCAAGCCCTGCAGCCTATGGGATTACCTGCAACTTAGCCGTAAACTCATCCATCCCAGCTGGTGGCTTTTCTTGCTCCCACCGGCGGCTTGCACGGGGCCCAAGCAGGTAGTCGGCTGCCTCACCAAGGCGGAGTAGGTTCACCATCGTGTCCAATTGCATTAGGGTGGCACTGAACTCCAGGCTGCTCCAGCTGTCCCGGAGTGTGCCATCCTGGTTGATCACCAACTGCGGGCAAGCAGGGCAAGGGTGGCATGGCATGCACTTAGCACCAACATGGGAAGGGGGGCCCACAGCAAAACAGGGAAACAGGCTGATACATAAGCGCAGTTGAGCTTGCCCCAGAACTGAGCTTTTGCTGTGTTTAGTCAGCTCTATGGGGCGGGGTAGAAGGGGCTTGGGCACAGGGTTCGACACTGACCTTCCTGAAACTCGCGGGCTCCCCTGTACCTCCCAAATTTTCCTTACGGAGGGGCCCCCGTACCAGGCTCCTGTACCGGCCGAAAACCTTAGGGGGCCCCCATAACCCCCGCAAAACCTTTACAGAGGCACTGTCCTTGGCTGAAACGCTGTGGAAAGTGACGCTTTGCATTATTTTGCCCTGTAAATCGTTATTTTCGTTATTTTCTCGTGAACCATTACACTCGGGGACACGGCACACTCAGCCAAGCACCATGGCTGGTACAGGAGCCTATAACACATTCAGGCCTGCGGTTCTTGTCAATCAGCTTCGAGTCCCTACCCTACCTTCTTTGCAAGGCTTATCATCTACTTTCTTTGTGGGAACAGGTTGGCTTGCAGGCTTTCCACCTGCGTCCGGAGATCGGCGAGGAGTGGCTACAACCAGCTCCGTTCCCATGATAGATGAGCGAGCTTACCAGAGCCCCATAGGTCCGACAATTTTAAGGTGGCGTGCTTCTTGGAGGGCAGGGTGGATTAGGAGGCCCTTGGTCACCTCCTGACGACTCATTGTCTGCCATCACTGGATGTTACAGACCAGAAGCTATAAAAGAATTATGAAAAGTGTAGTTAAATATTGCAATATGAATTATGTCTGCCAAGTGTGTGGCCTTATCCTTTATATGGTCCGTCCTCTCCCTTACAGGGCCCCGTACAGCCTCTTATAAATCCTTAAAATCCTTACAGGAGCCACTGTAACCGGCCTTCGGCTGGTCCGGGGGCGGCCCCCTACAGGGGCGCTTCACGCCCCAAAATCGTTACGGGAGCCACCGTAAAGTCCTACGGGCCCTGATGGGGATACCGAACAAAGGCCAAAAACTTACGGGCCCCGTACAGGGTGTCGAACCCTGCTTGGGCACATGGTGAAAGACCATCCCTCACCCGCGCAATCTGACGCTGGTGCAGGTCGCGGAAGTAGTAGCACCCATCCGTCTTCCTCTCCAGGTGTGGCTCCAGGAATTGCTGTAAGCCAGGGTGCAGATTTGTGTCAAGCCGCGCCCCCACATCTGGAAACGCCAAGTCCAGCACAGCAATGTGCTGCGACAATGGCATGCCCTCCAGGCCCAGCTTCCACTCCTTTCGTGACTGAGGTACATAGTGAGATTCAATGGGTGGGCGCCAGATAAAAACGCAAGATTTGAGATGAGCAGTAGTGGGTCCAGCCATGAAGGATTGGTGCAGCCAGCTCTAAAAAATGCCAGCTCTACAGCAACTGGCCCCAGTTCATGAAGACGACACAGACACTGCTAAGCTGAAGCACACAGAGGCCCTGAGATGGGTGTGCCGCAGGTTACCTCGTCAATGAGCTTCATCCTCATGAATCCATGGACAAAGGCTGCCACATCCAGGCCTAGGGGGGGTAGAGCATCAATCCAGTCCTCCACCAGGACTGTCAGGAGCGCTATGGATGGAGGGCAGAGCTCCAGCAGCTTGGGGTCCAGCTGCACTCCGGCCTTGGAGCTCTTCAGCAGCTCCCATGCCAAGCTCATGTGCTCGGGCCTGTAGGTTGCCGGTAGGTTCACGGCACTGGCACCAGTGATGACTGTGTAGCCATTGGGTGGCATGTTGGCCAGGCTAATCCAGGTCAGCACCATGGAGCTGCCGGTTATGCACCACAGCATGGTGTGGGAGCCATACACCAGCAGTGGCTTCATGAATGAGTCCCGGATGTATGCAGCCCCACTTGCATCCAGCTTGCCATCAATGGTCGGCAGGAACAGGCTCTGCATTTCGTCTGAATGGCAGGGATAAGGAGGCAGGCAGCGACACAGCAAGGGGGCGGATTAAGAGTATATTGTTGGAGATTGGAAACACCAGGACAGGGGACCAAACAAGTACTGCGAGGCTCAGCCCAGGTGCAGGTGTGTTGTATTCGCTTCTTAAATCTGGTCCCAAACTGATACATTTTTCTGTCTTATTTTTCCTTTCTCGCTTGGTGCGGTTGCTGGACATGTTTGCTGGAACTAACTGAATTCCAACTGCCTATTTTGCCACTTTTTCTGTCAGATCTTTATGGCTCCAACCTCTGGGTCAGACGGCGAGCAGGATGCTGTCATGGATGCTTACAAGTAAATGCCACCTCAGGTGGAAGTCCATACTTGCAGAAGTATGGGCGGGGGTCCTAGCACAGGCTACGACTGGGACGCTGGTCCCTGGCTCGCAGAGCCCCATCATCAATTGGAAGCATGGATCAACGGTACACCATTCTGGGACTGGACCACGCCTTTTCGGAATTGGCTGTACGATTCATGGGATGGCTGCATCCTCCGCTACTTAAGCGGGCGAAACTCTTCCAAATCAGTGTGTTCCGATGCCACCATCCAGTTGTGGTTGAGTAAGATATAACAAGGTGCAGCCGGTCTAGTAAAAGCTCCAGAAGCACATTGAAGCAGGATGAGGGGGGCGAAGTGTCGGATGCACAAGTTGTTGGTATACCCAAAGGGGTGTAGTGAAAGGAGCAAGCAGAATTGGCTTGTGTCCCCCTTCACCCAGATGTTTGTGCAGTCAAACATGCAGCATGCACTTCTTAAAATCAAAAATGGTAATGGGGCTTGCGACTTGCACCTGCACATCTGCATGCCCATGGTTGTGTAAAGCAAGCAAGTTGCTGCATGAGAATGGCATAGTTTGCCATGCAAAATGATACAGCAAGCAACCAAAAAAGCCATTCAGACCCAGCAATTCAAGAGAGAGAAACCAGGCGAAGAATCCAGGAGCCTGTGATAAAGCCTCCATCAGCATGACCCCATACCGCATAACACGAGCACCGGCACCTCCACCGCCTTAAGGAACTCCCGGATGGTGTGGCCCAGCAAGCCAGGGTCGGTGCTGAAGAAGTGCCGCACCAGCACATCCTCTGCAGCCTCCAGAGCACCCTCCCGCATGGGAACATGCTCCTTGCGTGCCCAACTCAGCAGCACACCCAGCAGGTCCAGCAACATGGCTTTAGCACCTTCCTGCGTGCAGGGTGTTGACAGAGCACACCATTTGAGCCACCACCCTCACAGCCAGCTCCCATTACCATCATGCACAAATCAAGCCTTCTGCAACCAATGCCTCTGCAGCACAGTCATGGCATGCTCACAGAAGCAGCATAATGGAATGGAAGTGCTTCAGCAGCCTTGAGAGTGTGTTCCAATATTTAACACCCACTTGCCTGCCGATGCAGCAGACCACAGTTCAGGCGCAGGGCCACCATGCCTGCCAGGGGGCCCTCCCCTCCCTGCTGGCGCAGCACCTCCACCACCACTGCAGGAACCACATGCTCCAGGGTGAACGACTTGCCCGTCTGCAACATGCATGTGCATTGATAAGAGGTCATAGGGCTACTCAAGTGTTGCGTGGTCCTGTGCTGTGGCACCGACATGGAGTCACACTGTGGCTAAAGATACCTAGGATGGGAGGTACAACACAACAGCGTACCTTGACAAGCCCTGAGACCAGCAAGGGTGAGGGGGCTTTAGCCCGGTCTTTGTCCACCGCGTCACTCATGGCCATTTTAGCCCATAAGCGGATACAATCCACCACCCTCACTTTGTCCATCCTTGCAGTGTCCACCCTCGCCACATCTATGTATGACACCACTGAGTCGCTGTAATGCAGCTCCACAATATCATTGTTGTTGACCTTGTAGTGCAGCTTGGCCGCACTATCCACCAGCCGCCTTGGAGCTCGTGCACCTGCACCATCACCCAGGGGGCAGGGCACAAGGTTGCTGGCAAGGTAAAAGGGACTTGCAGGACAGTTGGCAGTGGCAACCGTGTTGCACACTTTACCCCTGTGCTAGCTGCATGCACATCTCGAAAGTGAGGTCACTGTCGTTTGCCAAATCGATTCTTTACATGTGTCTTAAAACCCTGCAAAGTACACTCACCAGCCCCTGCCAGGATCCCCAGGCCCAGGCCAGCTGCCGTGCCTGCATGATGTGGGAGCGGCCAAGGAGCACATGCAGGTGAAAAGTTGCATGCCGCTGCACATGCTTGCTGCACATGCTTGATGCAGTCCGGTGTGCAGGGTGAGATGGGGGGTTGGGCATGAAAATCCTGATACACAGCAGAGGGGGGGTGCTCATTTCAAGCACTAGGGCATGCCAACCCAGGATGCTTCAGTATTGCAAACCAATACAATGCATGCTACAACAACTTCAACGTGAGCTTTGATGTTGTGCTGCTGCCACAACAGCGGTTGGCATTCAGCCTATGTTGTGCTGTGTGAGGAAGTCTCCTCATCCCCAATCAACCATATGCCAATCCATACCCTACAGCATCATGAACATGCTCACTGGCAGCCACAGGCAGCAAGCCTACAAGGGGAGGAAAGTAGAACGGATCCCAGTGAGATGGCTGGTTTACCCATGCCATGGGCAAACAACAAATCCAGGCAGGCGGCTGGCAGAGGTTAAGGCCTGACTTCTGCTCCCAGTCGACCCGGGTTCAAATCCACCTGCCAACCTCTAGGGTGTTTGAGAGGTGGTGAAATGGGAGGTGGCCCCCCATCTTGTGGACGGTGTAGGACGTGATAAAATCAACTTGCAAGCTGACCAGGAACTAAGTTGAGGCACTGTTGTTCCGTTAGATTTGGTTGGATGCTAGTGGTGAGTTGCCAAACTCAAAGAGTACACTCTGAAGTCAGATGGGGTGAATGGCTTAGGGCAAAATGGAAAATTCTCTAAAATGTCTCCAACACAATCTTCACATGTGAAGCCCTCAGCAGGCCACACAACAAAGGGTCTGACCTTTTCAAGAGCCAGGAGTGCTGGTGGGATAAGCATTATGCGTGTGGAAAATTCGCGGGCATGCTTTGACAGACCCCGGATTGGCTGCTGTGCGGACCGGCCAGCAGGTTGCCCCTGCTACTGTCTGCATCCGCAGGTCATTTGGCATGCAGGAGTCCACAGAACTATTGAACTGCTTAATAATGGCTGCTTACAAATTGCGAGAACAAAAACAAATGAAAGAAGAAAGACAATTAATAAAAAAAGATACACACCAATATAAAAGATAGCTCTGACTTCCACTGGAGAATAGAATATTCGCTTGCTTGACTTGCTGAGTGCAGCCTTCATAAGCAGCAGCAGGCATGGGCAGTGTACACCGCATTGAGGAGCGCTGCTAGGTCGCACGGTTCCTTGAATAATCACCAAGCAGCATTAAGCCTGGGCATATGCAGCTTCGGTCAGCACGGCAGGTTGATGATAGCTGCACACTGTTATCAAGACATGCAACGGTTGCTGCATGTTGCTGGCGCGTCAGGTATGCTACACAGCACCCTCTTGCAGCATGCGTTGCAGGCCTGAAAGGAAAGACTGGTATCAAAAGCTTGCAGTCACCACAGCCGCCCACTTGTTTTGGGGCCTAAAGACCTGCCTAAATCCCTACAACCCTACTGTGTGCCACGGTTCTACAAACTTTTGTGTCGTGCACAGTGCCAGGGCGCCATACATTTTCCCCTTTTCAACGTGTGTGTAAACGGTTGTGATGTGCATCCGGCTGCCTGAACAAGCTCTCCATATCCCCACTGCTAGCAGTGGCTTCCATCCACCCACAGAACACTTCCACATACACACACATGCCTGTGCCGCCTTTCCTTCAGACTGCAGTTTTCTCACTACCATTGCCATCATGCATGTTATGCACAGCAAGCCACTTTCACCACCATACGGCAGCAGCTGGCTGCAGTCATTGCGGGCACCCTATGAAGCTGCAATGACCACAGCCAGCTGCTTCACCAGAAACCCACGATGATTGAAGTCTTCTTCTGTTACCCCAACACTTGCAACTTCACGTACTTTATAAACTCTGGTGATATTGCTTTCGGATATCTTTTTCTATTACTAAAACTTCGCAACCCTGCATGACCAAGACCTTGGCCTTGGTGTGCCTTTGTACTGAAGCAATGCAAAAATCAAGTCAGACTCACCAGCAACAACGCCTGGGCCAGCTGTAGCTGCAGCTGCACATTAAGGAGAAACGAGAGGGATGCACAATTGACATCATTAGTTGCTCAACAATGGGAACGTGTTCATAGCAGCAGTTAGCAGTCAGCACTCAGGCTGGATACGATCATTTAAGCAATCATTCAAGGTTGTGTAGACACGACCGGTATGTCATAGTTAGTCATGGGAGCCCAGGAAATACCCTAAAACTGCAATATGACTAAAAAGAGTCAGCATGTGTGCATGTACCAAGGAAATATAACCCCTGCGTTTGTTTTTCCGCAGCAAAATGATTTGCACCTCATGCAGGTGCACCTGTCTGGGTGTACCTCCCCTCCAAGAAGAAGGAAAGGCGTCAGCTGTGTGTCACTCAAGACATACACTACAACAATCGAATAACAAGCATTGTTCCCATGTACAGCGGGTGTTTCCATCACAGCGGGTGTTTCTATCGCGAACACAAACAAGCAAACTGGTGCTCGTCGGGAGCCCAGTCACAGGCCCAGCCGCAGCGAAATGACGAACCCGAGAAACTCCCAACCCAGTCTAGGAATGCGCTGAGCTTCCACAAGCAGCCAAGTTTGCCGATGCATGCCTGTTTTGATTGCCTCCTTCAAGGCGTTGCGTTGCCGGAGATTAAGTTGCGATCGTAGGTCATTTACGTCGAGACAACGAAATGCGCCTCCTGCCTCAGCGTTCACATCGTAACCCTCCCTTTCAAGAACTTGGAGTATGGGAGCTATCGAGGCCTCAGTCTCTCCGTCGACTGCAGCGATCGCTTCACGCAGAGTCGGCATTGGAGCAGAAGTTCTGCGAGGCTACACCACATCGGATCCTATGGCATGTCTCATGGCTGACCCTGCTAGCGCAAAAGCTCGTCCGCTCTCAACCGCAACGCTTAAACAAAGTGAAGAGATAAGGCTGGGCTTGTTTCTGCGGTTAGCTGTAAATAAAATTGTTTGGATTGTGGCGGCGCATCTCTGTGGAGCTGTGTTGTGAAGGCAAGACGCCCGGGGGGCCCTGACTCGAAGTGAGCCCCACCCTGGAGTTAGTTGGTACCGCTTTCATGTACTTCCTCAAACAAACTGCTTGTCTAATACTGTGATGTTTTATTTGTTATATTCAAGTAAACTGAACTGAACTTGCAAGGCGCCACCGCAGTTGCCGGTGCCATGAAAGCGCGACCGTCCTGGGACACAGCATCAGGCCCAGAAATACACTTATAGGGTTACAGAAAACATAGCTGTAAACAGAAATAAACAAAGCCATGGAGTTTGTCCTGGACCCGCGCCATCTGCTTGCATCGCGAAAACCACGCGTCGCGCGCCGCAATGCCAGTAAAGTTTGCCATGGCCACAAAACAGCAAAGCAAAACATACATTGTTAAAACAAACAACAACGGGGATAACGGCTCGACGGTCAACACCCTCGCTCGCGGTTCAGTTTCTAAAAACATATACCCCGCCGGCGGACGGTCCCCTGTCCGCAACGCCGTACATCCTGACCGTTCCAGCGGACGCCTAGCGGACGGTCATGGAAACGATGGTCCAAAGCTCCAAAACATCTGTATGTAGATGATTCATGAGACGCTAATAATTAATGCTCCAGCTTGCACTCCTTGGCAAGCAATAAACGCGCAAAACACTCGCCAGGAGAAACTAACCCCAAAATTGTGACGCACATAGTCAAAAGACTTCTAGCATAAAAGGAGAAAGCAATCGAAAGAAAAAAGACAACATCCCAAGGCGCGCGGCGGACATTCTAATGACCTGTTTATGTAACCTGCTTAAATAACACCAACGCACTGGAACAATTGAATCATGCAATAAGGTCATTGCAATGGCCACAAGCACTGGGCATTAGTGAAAGGGATTCAGCAAAGACTGACCGTAACGCCCAACACGTCGTTCCATCCCTTTGTCGGCTCTGAATGGCACAATGAATGCTCTACTGGGTAAATGATCATTTGGCGGTGGAAAGAGGCCATTGTATGGCATCCGAGCTGGCGCACAGCTTGCGCATGTCCCCAAGACCCAACACGGCACCACGCCCCGCACCCGGTTACGCCCTTGTCCTGCATTCCACCTGCCAGCCTGTCTGTGCAACACAGCGCATGGCGGGCAGGCCAACGAAGCCATACCAAAGTTTCGTTCAAGACTGGGGTCCCAAGCTCTCAGAATCCCAGGCTGCCAGGCTCCCAGGCACACAGGCTCCCATGCACACAGGCTCTTAGAATCCCAGGCTCCCAGGCACACAGGCTCTTAGAATCCCAGGCTGCCAGGTTCCCAGGTTCCCAGGCTCCCAGGCACACAGGCTCCCAGGCTCTTAGCATCCCAGGCTGCCAGGTTCCCAGGCTGCCAGGTTCCCAGGCTGCCAGGTTCCCAGGCTGCCAGGCACACAGGCACACAGGCACACAGGCTCCCAGGCTCCCAGGCACAAAGTCTCTTAGAATCCCAGGCTGCTAGGTTCCCAGGCTCCCAGGCACACAGGCTCCTAGAATCCCAGGCTGCTAGGTTCCCAGGCTGCCAGGCACACAGGCTCTTAGAATCCCAGGCTGCCAGGTTCCCAGGCTGCCAGGTTCCCAGGCTGCCAGGTTCCCAGGCTGCCAGGTTCCCAGGCTGCCAGGTTCCCAGGCTGCCAGGTTCCCAGGCTGCCAGGCACACAGGCTGCCAGGCACACAGGCACACAGGCACACAGGCTCCCAGGTTCCCAGGCTCCCAGGCACACAGGCTCCCAGGTTCCCAGGCTCTCAGAATCCCAGGCTCCCAGGCACACAGGCTCTTAGAATCCCAGGCTCCCAGGCACACATGCTCTCAGAAACCCAGGCTGCCAGGTCCCCAGGCTCTTAGAATCCCAGGCTTCCAGGCACACATGCCCTTAAAATCCCAGGCTGCCAGGTTCCCAGGCTCCCAGGCACACAGGCTCCCAGGCACACAGGCTCCCAGGCAAACAGGCTCTTAGAATCCCAGGCTGCCAGGTTCCCAGGCTGCCAGGCACACAGGCACACAGGCACACAGGCTCCCAGGCTCCCAGGCACAAAGGCTCTTAGGATCCCAGGCTGCCAGGTTGCCAGGTTCCCAGGCTCCCAAGCACACAGGCTCCCAGACTCTTAGCATCCCAGGCTGCCAGGTCCCCAGGCTCCCAGATTCCCAGGCTCTCAGAATCCCAGACTCCCAAGCACACAAGCTCCCAGGTTCCCAGGCTCTCAGAATCCCAGGCTCCCAGGCACACATGCTCTCAGAAACCCAGGCTGCCAGGTTCCCAGGCTCTCAGAATCCCAGGCTTACAGGCACACAGGCTCCCAGGCACACACGCTCTCAGAATCCCAGGCTCCCAGGCACACATGCTCTCAGAATCCCAGGCTGCCAGGTTCCCAGACTCTTAGGTTCCCAGGCTCCAAGGCTCCCAGGTTCCCAGGCTTACAGGCACACAGGCTCCCAGGCACACAGCCTCTTAGAATCCTAGGCTGCCAGGTTCCCAGACTCTTAGGTTCCCAGGCTCCCAGGTTCCCAGGCTCTCAGAATCCCAGGCTCCCAGGCACACATGCTCTCAGAATCCCAGGCTGCCAGGTTCCCAGACTCTTAGGTTCCCAGGCTCCCAGGTTCCCAGGCTCTCAGAATCCCAGACTCCCAGGCACACAGGCTCTTAGAATCCCAGGCTTCCAGGCACACAGGCTCTTAGAATCCCAGGCTTCCAGGAACACATGCTCTTCGAATCCCAGCCTCCCAGGCACACAGGCTCCCAGATCCCCAGGTTCCCAGGTTCCCAGGCTCTCAGAATCCTAGGCTCCCAGGCACACAGGCTCTAAGAATCCCAGGCTGCCAAGCTCCCAGGTTCCCAGGCTCTCAGGTTCCCAGGCTCTTAGAATCTTAGGCGCACAGGCACACAAGCTCTTAGAAAGCCAGGCTGCCAGGTCCCCAGGCTGCCAGGTTCCCAGGCTGCCAGGTTCCCAGGCTGCCAGGTTCCCAGGCTGCCAGGTCCCCAGGCTGCCAGGTCCCCAAGCTCCCAGGTCCCCAGGCTGCCAGGTCCCTAGGCTGCCAGGTCCCCAGGCTGCCAGGTTCCCAGGCTGCCAGGTCCCCAGGCTGCCAGGCCCCCAGGCTGCCAGGTTCCCTGGGGACCTGGCTGCCAGGTCCCCAGGCTGCCAGGCTGCCAGGCACACATGCACACAGGCTCCCAGGCACACTGGCTCTTAGAATCCCAGGCTGCCAGGTTGCCAGGTTCCCAGGCTCCCAAGCACACAGGCTCCCAGACTCTTAGCATCCCAGGCTGCCAGGTCCCCAGGCTCCCAGATTCCCAGGCTCTCAGAATCCCAGGCTCCCAAGTAAGCATGCTATCAGAAACCCATGCTTACAGAATCCCAGGCGCCCACGCTCCCACGTTCCCAGGTTCCCAGGCACACAGGCTTTTAGAATCCTAGGCTTCCAGGCACACAGGCTCTCAGACACACAGGGTCCCATGCACACAGGTCGCCCATGGCTGCGGTCCAAGCCTGGCCCCAACCGCCAGATAAATATGCTCCTACATCTAATTGACTTAGCCGAATGCTTGTTTTAGCTTTGTTTACATTTCATGCATTTGCTGGCAAGTCGCAAATTGGCGATTTCATGGTGTAATGGATAAACCAGCGCACTGGCGCGAGGTGGGATGGCTCCTGTGCTCGAAATAATGGCCGAGGACGTCCATTGCTAAAGGGGGGGCAATGTAACGACGCAAGGCCCAACTGAGCATCCCGGGTTACGCCTTTGCTGTGTTACACCTAGCGCTTGCAACGACGTAGCCCCCAGTATAGCACATTGCATTACATTATCCATGAAAAGATTATAAAGCTTTATGGCTGGTTGCATAACAAATTGCGGGTGCGAGGTGACTGCTTGCATAACAAATTGCGGGTACTGCTAAAGTTGCAAGTCGCAAGTCGCAAGTCGCAAGGAACACGCAAAATTTCTATATGAAATTCTATATACGCGAATACGTGCGTGAACCACGCCTGTAGGGTGTAAACAGATAGCATTTGCGGCGTCCGCGTCTGCGGGCTATGGCCGATCGCAGGCGTAACTATGCTGAAGTGGCTTGCGGCCTATGTGGCTTCGTCTGTCTGAGCAGTGCAATGTAGCTGTCTGAGCAATGCAATGTAGCTGTTCATACGCACAAGCTCACTCAGGCCTCATCTAGTTCTTATCAGTATTTGCTTAATGTATCTCATCAAGTTCTTAGCAGTATTTGCTTATGGGCCTTCTGGTGGGGTTCCGAGGACTTTTGCCAATCGGGGAGTCTAATTGCAAATTCCCCTGTGGTTGCGGGTTCTGAGCCTGCCCTTGGATTTGCTTTTGGATGTCTAGGTGACTTGTGTTGTCTGGTCTGGGTGGGAGTCTTGTTTGCCCTCATCGTATCAGGTGCAGTGCACGGCCTGCTGGCCCGCTGGCTGTACTCTTTGTGAGTCTGGAGCCCACTGTAACAACCACACTGCCTCGAGGCATCCCTAGCCCCGGCGGTGGACTGATAGGAACTAGCCTAGTCCGCACAAGTTCCACACAAGTGTGGGGGTGTCCGTAAGAGCTGGGGGGCCCATGGGCGGTAAATCGTTTTTAGGGCGGTTTTTGGTGGACCATCATCGTCCACCCTCGTCCGCTTGAGCACGGAGCGCCTTAGAGCAACATGCCGGGTCCCAGACTTCCGAGAGGAACCTGGCTAGTGCCAGGGGTGGGGCCTCGGTCATAATGGTGTGCATGTTGCACCCTTGAAACACGAGGTCACGTTCGCCCGTGTACTAATGTACGCCAGGCATTCCACAAAGACATGCATTTTGTCTTCAACCGCCCCGCAGTCACAAAGCCTGCAGGTGCACGCTGTGCACTCATGGCCATTAGGTTGGTTAATCTCTAACTCCCAACAGCCTAACCGGAAACATATAAGCATTTGATGCAAACATTGGGGCATGGCGATTTCAGGTGGTCATTATGGATTTCAGCACGAACAATGAACCCTGCCCGCTCCCCCTGGTCAGTTGTGGGCAAGCATCAGAGAATCGGGTGAGAGACCGAGCTTTCTATTAGGGCCTGGTGCCTTAATAGGGAGGGGTAGGGTCTGTACAGGGTTTCCAGGTTTCCTCGGTCTTCTTGAACCTTCACCCCAAGAGCCAGTCTTCTTGTGTGTTTCAGGCTCAGTGCTCAAACTCGCGTGACGGAGCCTTGACCCCCGGGGGAGGAGAGCGGAACTAGTGGACTTGCGGCTCTCGGCTGCCTAGGAGGGGACAGAGGCCCCTTACGCCCCTCTCCTGTCTGCGGGAGGAGCTTAGGTGGTCTTTCTGTTGGGGCTGGGCAGCAGTCCCTGGCCAGTTTCAGGCACGGTCAAATACTTGCAACACACGCACACGCACACACACACACACGCACACACACACACACACACACACACACACACACGCGCGCGCGCGCAAAAGCTCACGAGATTGAAATGAATTGTTACAGAGTGGGAGGCTTCTGGGCCATTTGAACATATTGTCACACAAGCTCGCGATATGCCAGCTGAACTGATTCCCTGGTAAAAACCTTCTTGCGGACGAACCCAGCTCAGGCAATGCACGGCTAATATCAGGGCCGCTCCAAAGAGTGCCCAGTAAGTTTGTCATAGCGGTGGCCAGATCGGAGAGCGATGCTTGGTCGTCGGCCTGCACCAGCTCCACCAGCGTCTGTGCAGCGATCTCATCAAACTTGCGTGGTTTGCGTGTTCCTGATTGTCCTCTAAGCGGCAGGACATCGCCATTCGCCACGTAGGACTGTATGATAGCATGCACAGTCCTCTCGCAAGGTCTGTGCCCGAAAGCCTCAGCTATTTGCGCTTGCGTGTAACCCTCGTCGAAATAGAGGTGGCAAACACGTTCGCGCACTTGTTTGCTGTAGTAGTAACGGTTCAATACTTCTCCCATTGTGAGATCCGCTCTACAAACTGAGTATGCACACGTACGTATTCGCGTATATAGAATATTATAATAGAAATTATGCGTGTTCCTTGCGACTTGCGACTTGCAACTTGCGACTTGCAACTTGCCAAATACAGAAGTACGGAGGGCCCTATGCCAACCACGGATATCACACCAGGACGAGACAGTCCGAGTTTTGGCCATTCCAGCACAGAATGCAGAGTCAGACAACAG